CTGGTTACTGCTGGCAATGAGTTTCTTCAGGAAAAAGTGTACATCACAGAAACATAACATTATTACAACATAACAATGTAATAAGTATTACATTATTATTGTAATAAAATGTTCATAATGTAATAATTTTCTGAAATGTAATAAAATCTTGAGCTCATAATGTAATAATTTTTCAATGTAATACATTTTTTTCAATCACAGTTCATACAGTTCATAAGTTAATACCAGCACATAATTTATCTATGACATTAGACTTTGGAAACTTTTTTCCAAATGTTCCAAATGTATTCATAAAAAATACCTTCAATTCAAGGACAGATAATTTAGTAGGGGCGCAACTGAATTGTTCCTAGCAATAATTTTGATCAATTAAAATATATTTATATGTAACCACTGTCGTTGTCATCATACCATGGACATTACCTGAGAAGTTAAAGTAAATACATCAGCAAACTGCACTCTTTCAAGGACGTGTATTTAATGCATGGCCAAAGAACATAATCTAAGTGTTTAAAACATGCAAAGTAGGACTGCAAACTGTTCCCGTATTTAAGTAACATTCCATATTAAATCCATACAGAAAGCAGTTTATCGTGTCACGCCCAGTTTAGGAAAGAAAAATAAATAAATAAATAAAAACCAAGTGAGCACCCTTATTTGAAACTGTAATAACATATTTGGCAAACTCTTCTGTGCATATTTGCATTTGCACTCTGGAGAGCATCAGATGTTTCTGTTTACAACTTTGCAGCATTGAGCAGTGTAGCCAATCACAGACACATCCGTTGAACCGATGAACTGAGATAAGTGACAGGCTCAGTGCATTTGAAATTATAAAGGGAGCACTCTTTGCACACTAGGTCAGGGCGATTTAATTTTTCTGATTTTATGAATTTAATGTTTTGCCACGATTTTATTTTTTAGAAATCGAGGCATTTTGAATAGAAATATTACCAAATGTCAGAATTAGACATTTTGACAATATGCCAATGATAAGAGTAAAGAGAAAAGAACGACCCAACCGCGTGTGATTAACTGCTCATATGTGATGCGTTCATATCGCTAGCCGCCATTCGCTTTTGTGTTGACAAAGATGCAACACGGACAGTGGAATAGGTAAAACATGCAAGAAGATGGGAGTGAACTTCTTTTAACTTGAGCGCCGTGTTTTTAGAATGCTGTTTAATGCAAAAGACGCTGCAAGAGCACAACAGTCAAAGGCGTCCATGTTTACATGGGGAAAAAAAACAATGGAAAAGCAGCACAATTAAAATAAAACCTGTAACTACTACTGTATGTCTGATATTTCATGTTTGCATCACAGTCTACTGGTGTTATACCTTCGGAAGTCAGAAAGAGCTTTATTACCAAGTATGTTTACACACACAAGGAATTTGACCTGGTGACAGGAGCTTTCAGTGCAGAAGAAAGTATGGACATAGTGCAAACTAGTGCAGCAGACATAGGAATTACACAGTATAGTATAACATATTTTTATAAATAAAAAAAGAAAAACAGAAAAATAAATGATGCACTATATACAGAAGTAGAAATATAGAGAAATGTAACTGTTTGAATGAATGTACAGATATATTTACAAGTGTGCAGTTTACAAATGTACAATTTTCGGATTCTATATATAAAGTCAGGCATTTTGAATTTGAATTACATTGACTTGAGAATTTTTTGAAACATTTTCATTGTAGCCTATTATTTCTCATCATATAAAATGTATAAGACAAGTTTGTACAGGATGTAGTTGTAATTCATGCATCTTTTCTGCAAAGATATTTAACAAGTCATTTGTTTAACATTTGCATCACGTTGACAACATGTGTGGTGCACTTGGAATAGAATTTTCTTTAACTAGAGGGTTCATAAAGAAAAAGTTATTTGAATCATGTTGGGATATACACCAGCCTGTCTGAAAACCTGTGCTGACCAGCTGGCCCCCACCTTCAAACAGATCACTGGAGCTGTGCAAAGTCCCTTCATGCTTCAAACGCTCCACCATCATCCCCATCCCAAAGAAACCCAAAATTACAAGACTAAATGACTACAGGCCTGTTGCTCTAACGTCTGTGGTCATGAAGTCATTTGAAAAAGTGGTGCTGGCCCACCTGAAGGACATTACTGGACCCTTGCTGGATTCTCTTCAGTTTACCTATAGAGCAAACAGGTCTGTGGACGATGCAGTCAATATGGGACTGCATTGTTTTGCAACATCTAGGCAGACCAGGAACTTATGTGAGGATCCTGTTTGTGGACCTCCATCTGTCAGTGGATCTCTAGCTTCCTGACAGATAGGCAGCAGCTAGTAAAGCTGGGAAAATTCTCATCCAGCACCATCAGCACTGGCACCCCTCAGGGATGTGTCCTCTCCCCACTGCTCTTCTCCCTCTACACGAACGACTGTGTAGCGCTTACTATCTAGCTAATAACTTGTAGATTAATTAGTAACTTGTTATATGCCAATCTATGGACCAGCGTCTCAGAAGACTAGATTCGCTGCTGAGAAAGATGCAACAACAACAGTGAACAGACATAACGAATGGTTTGGTCGAACACACAACGTGTATTTGTGGTTTAACAGCACTCAACGGGTAAGTTGAATCAATGTGAATCAATGGAAACAGAAAGAAAAAAAATATATTTTCACAAATTAAATTCTTGTTTCTAAATGTTATCACTCTTTTGTTTTAGCAGGTTTCATGAACCTTTTCCCTAAATTTTCAACAAGGTAAGTTCTTTGTTCGTTCACTTTAACTCAGTAGTTGAATCACCCAAATAAAGGTTGAATATGAACACTCATGTTACCTTTGTCAACTTTTTTTTCTTTTTAGATAAATCAGTATTCAAGTATCAAAAACCCAATGTATGTATCACAGCTGTCACCACAACAGAAAATTAACACTTCTCAATGAAATAAAATAATGTCCTTCGATTTCAAAACCCTCAATTGCTCAGTCTTTCAAGAAAAACAGTTCTTCAAATAGTCCGTAGAGAGATATAAATGTCTTTTCTCTGTCAATGAGGAAAAAACGTCTTCATCCGAAAGAGGAAAAAAAGAAAAGAAAAGTTATTTGATTTCCTACCATTCGCAGGGTTCAGAAAAACTTGTCTTTTGTTTCCACAGAAAATCCAAGAACAGACTCAAGGGAGGCTCGCCAGTCCAAACCCTCCTCAGAACAACTGGAAGGCCGGGACAAATCCAGAATGCAGGTACCGGAACATCTCGTCACATCAGACAGAGGACAGCAATCGAATTTGGAAAAGGACAGAACAACAAGGAAAAAAAAAACCTGACCTTGAACAAACAAGGTCACAAAAATATCATGAATATCTTTATTGTAACAACATACAATAAAGTGCTTAACTCATGAAAGTAAATTAATCACTATACATCATTCATATTACACAGAACTTGAGTATTTTGAATATACATACATGTATTTTTCAAATAAAGAATTTTTTTTTTTTTTATATATGCAATGTCTGTGACTATTTTTCCAACATAACACACTAATTAATATATTACTGACCACTTTTCGTCACATACTTGAGCACACAGTTAGCTGTTATGTACCAAATACAGCATTACAGATTTTTTTCATACATAAATCACTCGCAATTTTAAATTTCTCTTGCTTTTTCCCCTTATACAATACTAACGATTTGATTGGTAACGATTAACAAGGCAAACTGACTTACCAAGGAGATCGTTTAAACTCAGAAAATTCCAGAACGGTGCAGGTACAGCACGTCCCCTTTAAATCCTTTTCTTTACCCTTTTTCCATCAAAAATACACTCCGTAAACACTTTAGCAACACTTTGTCGCTAATAGAGTATATGTATATCACCATACACTTTTATATTTACAAGTTAAATGTCCGTTTCACTCACATTACAATATCAATGTCATTCACCACAAATGGAAAATAAAATGCGTCACTTCACTCACATCAATCCATCGATAAAA